GAACCGATCGTTAAAATAAGGAATACAGTCAAAGTAAAAGGCAAAACAAATAGAGAAAGACATAAAATTACTAATAATGAAGCTGCTATTCCAATGATCACACGCATCTTTGCAATAAATGAACGTTTCTTCCTCGTCTTATATTTCGAAGTTCAAATTTCATCATTTTTCCGCTGCAGACGGAAGTGCACCAACGTTGAATAAAAGGTTCTGTACATATATCAAACATGAGAAAAAGGAAAGAAAATTAAAAGTGCTAACAATAATGGGTTCAAACATTTTTTTCAATTCAATTCAATTCAATTCAATTCATTTATTTTTCCTCTCTCAATTGTTCATATTTACAATGATGGTACATTTTAACATATTGTCATATTAATGAAGCTGCTATTCCAATGATCACACGCATCTTTGCAATAAATGAACGTTTCTTCCTCGTCTTATATTTCGAAGTTCAAATTTCATCATTTTTCCGCTGCAGACGGAAGTGCACCAACGTTGAATAAAAGGTTCTGTACATATATCAAACATGAGAAAAAGGAAAGAAAATTAAAAGTGCTAACAATAATGGGTTCAAACATTTTTTTCAATTCAATTCAATTCAATTCAATTCATTTATTTTTCCTCTCTCAATTGTTCATATTTACAATGATGGTACATTTTAACATATTGTCATATTAATATACATATAGATCAATTTGAACAATACAATACAATAAATACATTAAAAAAAATAAACATCAAATTGAAAGGGAAGGAGGGCCGACTAAATAGCAGAGCTTGTAGGGTGTAGGCCCTCCTGTAAAAGTAAATGTTTGACATTTTCTGCATCAATCTTAATAATTCATTATGTTTTGAGAAGAAATTTATGTAGATCTCAGGGAAAGGGGCAAATAAACCCCTTATTATCTTTTTTTTTTTTCATCGAGGCCGGGCACACCATCAGTGAAAGTTCTGGCCGAGGTGCGAATATAGAATAATTATTTATTCATTATTTACATACTGTAGTACTGTTGTAGATATATGATATGCCAACGTGCACCATTGTCATCATCGTCATCATCATCATCATCATCATCATCATCATCATCATCATCATCATCATCTTCAGTTGCGTATACTGATAATTCAATGCCCGGGGCAAGCAATGAAATTGTGCCTTCCCCCCCCCCCCCCCCCCCCCGAAATCTATTTACAAACTGTACAAGCGATCGAGAGTACTACTTCGTCATCGAAATGCATGCTGCACGATCGCGAATTCAAGAATTTTCAGACACTGCCCGCCTTTCCAAGATTCATTCTTATTTTTGATTTTGCGAGCGAACGATCGAAGCGATCTAGCAAAAAATTAAAAAATCTTTTATTTAAAACTTAACATTATCATCACAATTTACTAGCTTTAATAATTTCATCATGACCAATTGTCATGTGATTTTTTTTTTTTTAGTGAGGGTAGCCTCATCAGTATATAGGCCTACTGTTCTTCCTGAGGGCCCTGCGATTACCATTACCCCTAGCCAGGTGCCCCTTTATACCTGGGTGGAGAATGTCAAATTTTTTGATCAATGTATTGCCGGAAGGACGTTAGTCTAGTTAGTGCCTGGCCATTTAGTGCATTACATGGGACACTGTATTATAAGGGGGGGGGGGGGTGGGGTGGATGCCGTGTGACGTTTACAGAATATAAAAATATACACTGTCGTGAGAGGTTCTGGTTCCAATAGTTCTACATTGATGTCCATCGTTATAGCCAGTACCTCGAAAAAGAAAGCAGGTATATTATTTTGATTTATATCTTCTTCTTATTTTGTGTTTATTTATTTTTATTAACAATTTTTTTTTTTTTTAATCTAGCAATTTTATAACAATTTAAAATTATCAAAAAGATTATTTACCCAAAATTAAACTCCCAAATAGTACTCCCAACGTCGAAGTTCAATTTACTTAACTCACTGCAACATGAGTATTGCGTTAACTTTTGCTAGCTGACAGTACTTTTTGCAAAATAGTGTGTTTGATTTTCTATCATGCGACACACTTTTAACCAATAAAAAAACAATACACATTTGATGCAGGATATAACTAATACCAGGTCAGTTACGTGATCTGAAGAAAAAAAACACACGAAACAAACCACGGAAGGATATCACCTGCTCTGTCCTTCAACGATAAAAAGCTTAGGCAGAATGTCGACGGGAAATAATAATGGTGGAAATTACGGATGGGTAAAAAGGGTTTATTACTCACAAACTAATGATTTTGTTTTACATGGCGCTGCGTCGTCATATCCATGCCTGGTCATATCAATCATCTATCGATCATAAAATAAGGTAAAACATTGCTTTCAAGTTAGGCCTATACTTTCTTCGGATTTAATTGTCAACTTTCTTCCCATCCAAGTTGGCTTAAAGCAATGATTTTACTCTAATACGCACAAACAATTAACAAAAAAAAATAATCATACCCTTGTAAATCTGTAAACTTTTGGGGTGTGTTTTTTGTAATTCAAGAATGAAAGTTGGACTGGTTGAATTAGGGCCTTTCTTGAATATTTAAGACGTAAACTTTAATCATAAAACAAAACTACATACTTCAACAATTAAAAAGTAGATAAAGGCATATTATATAAAAATAATTTAGTTTGGTAACTGTACTTACCTTAACAAATAACAAGTGTCTGGAAACGTATTTCCGAATAGTATCCAAAAATAATTTGCGAAACTACCAACACCCGAATCAGAATGATAGACGATGTTTTAAACATTACACTAGGCTATAAGGCTGATATTATTTGGCCATTAAAAAATATACATGTTTAGCGTCCCCGCCCGCTTCCTTTTTGGGGGCCGCCTCCTATTTTTTTTTTTTTTCTTGAAATTTTTTTTTGAAATGTTTTTTTTTTCAAGAAAAAAAACATGAAAAACACTGCTAAAATGGATTTATTCTGATTTAAAAAAAAAAAAAAAAAATGTCGGCGGCCATCATAAAAAATAGCCCGACTGTCAGGGAAAATGTACCGAGCGGCCATTTTGAAAAAAAAAGGGGCCTCCTCCTTCCTATTTTTCAAAAAAACAGGACGCTAAACATGTTTTTTTTTTTTATTTGGCTTAATGAAAGTGTTTCATAAGTCTAGCTGATCACCAATTTGCCCTTTCATCTTTCAACGATCAGATAATGATATTTTATCAGTATATCAAACGTCACTGAGTACACCAAAGCCGGTAAATAGAGCGGTTTACTAGCATATTAAATTTTATGAATACTTTTTTCTTCGACAAAGTTTGTTTTTGGACGACCTGAAAGCTTTACCGAGACTTGCCCGACAAAGCAACAATTGATATAATGCAGACTGGATTCCGAGTATTGAAAGTATATTCATTTTTAACTTGTCACTAGATCCCTATAGGAAAGAAACGTCTATCAATTTGAATGTGTTAATAAGCCGGTCTACAGTGTTTTTAACCTGTTTATTGTAGTTATTACACAGCCGAGATTTATAGAGTGAGGGAGGGTAAGCGAATGTGAGACATATCGAAAGATCGAAAGCTTTTTCCGTAGTGGTTCATGGACATATACGATGAATTACAAAGTATTATTTGTAACCCCTCTTTATTATGACCTTTACGGGGGGGGGGGGGGTTGGTTGGGTAGCTTCGGCCTTCTCTCACCCCCCCCCCCCCCAGCCCTTTAAAGAATTAAAGCCATGCCGTATCATTTGCGATATTTTAGCACAATGACAATCATTTTAACCCCAAATAGATTAAACTTAAGCCACCGAGTCAAAGCCGGGGCGCTGATTTTACTGGTAGTTTTTTTTTTGAGGGGGGGGGGGGGCATCCGAGATGGGTAATCTAAAAAGACCGACAACTTAAGAGACTGACAAAACAGATAAAATACATAGAAAATAGGATATAGAAAATAAAACAGTTAATTCAACATGTTCATAGGTACAACAGTCCACACGGCCAACAGACCATGCATGAGACCGTTAAAACAGAGAAAACAATTATATTCATCATGGAAGATAAACACTGTCGGTCTCTTAGGACATCGGCCTATTAAAACATCTACGAATCTTGTCATAATGAGTGTCGGTCTCATTGGCTGTAGCCCAGAAATATATACTAGGTTAATGAAATGAAAGATAATAATCAAGCAATTAAGGTAGAAGGGAATGTGGGGGGGGGGGCTTGGGGTCGTAACTATGATCGTCTTTAAATTTCACGTTCGCTTTCCCCACCTTTACTTTCACTTTCTCTTTCCCCTTTTTTTTCTATTCGGGGGAGAGGGGGCACTTTTTACCATGCCACCCCCTTGTGGGACTACGCCACTGTGGTTATCAATACGTGATTAACTTCAGAACATTCAACTGTCACGATGAGGTTAACCGGAAAGAGAGAGTGGGCGTATTTGTTAACCGTTTTCACGTCGAGGAAGGACGGTTTCTTCATAGGCGAAGGTAAAGGAATTCATGATAAAGGGTTTGAATCCCCATTCAAATAATGGATGTATACCAAAAGACAGAAATAAGGGAGTTAAATGAAACTATACATATTATCTGATGTTAAGATAATGGTCCCTCAGATAACATAACAGCTCGTGACTTTCAGGCAAGTATTTTGTGATCTCCCTCGAACAATATCCATAACATCATGCATATAAAAGGATTAGAGATCGCTAGCTTTAAACTCGTGTTGAGCAGCAAAATCAAGGCTTGCACTTTGGAAAATCCCAAAATAACCTCAAACTCAGTTCACTCCGACTAGGTACACCCGTCACCTAGTGGCGGAAGGGGGGGGGGGGGGTGTCAAGTGTCAACAACCTGCCCGTACCCCTTTTGAAACCCAATAAGCATAAGGCTTAAATGCGGGGGGAGGGAGGGATGCCACGTCAAATATTTTCAGAATTGTGCCCCCACCCTCTTTTTACAAAGTCCTACATCCGCCCTTGCCATTTCATGACAGTATATTGCTCATCGTTGCTATTCTTTGCCACTCCTGTTCTGAAACTCATCGAGTTCACACTTGCACGCTGCTGCCAGGTAGTTATAAAATAATCTTCAATTCGAATAACTTAGAAGCTGAAATTCATCAAAATGCGTGAAATAGTCCATGTTCAAGCAGGCCAATGCGGCAACCAAATCGGAGCCAAGGTAAATCGAATTCGTATTCACAATTTCTTACAGTATCTTATATTTTGATATCTTGATTTGTTATTTAGGTTAAACCATATAGTACCTCTTAACAAATTGGGATTTTTCTACCTCTTACTTGGAACAATTCCGTGAAATCATCTCTTACTACACTAAAAACAAATGAGCTATATTTTGTATAAGTAACTTCGAAACTATTGTTTTATTAACTTTTGTAACAAAACTAAATCAACCGTGTTTTTTTTATACAAATTGAGCATGAGAGTAACATCGACAATTGGTGTGATAAAAAAATATGAAATGGTAATTATTATTGCTTTGCCATATAGAAATAGTAGCTTCTTTTTCTGATTATGTCATGTATGTGCAGTTGGAAAATAATTGGGAAGTAAATTTGATTTTAAACTTATTCGTTAAATATCATCGACATGCATTAATAATTCGTTCATAACATGAGCAGAATATAACGAAATAATTAATAGGAAGTTTATCTCAATCTGTCAATTCAAATTGTTATGAAATAAAAACAGATCTCTTAAAATGTTTGTTTGTAATCCCAGAGTCAAGGAGAAGAATGGATGGCCTGTATGTTGTAATCATTCATGCAAAATAATAATGAGCTATACAAAGAGAAAGCAAATTGTCTTTGACTTTAAGATTCTCTGATATTTTAGGAAAGAATGGGACATATCTTCTAGTTCTAGCTTATTTCTACTAGTTTGCTTCAGATAAAACATGACAGTAAAGAAAGGAAATCGATAACGGGAGGGGGGTAAAAGATGGGGGCAGAAACAGATATGCAGACAGTTGGATACTTATGTTACACAATAATCATGTTTAAAAAAAAAAGGAGAGTGTTCTGTTCAGTTCAGTTCAGTTTATTAATTTTCTCAAGCATAAAACAATATTATAATATATACAAAAATGGCAAATATACATAGTAAGAGAAAAAATGGAAACTACAAAAAAGTTTATAAAAACTTGTATGCCGTAGTTCCCAGTAAAGGGAACAAATACATGGTATAAACAATTGCAATAATAAAATACAAAATTATGCAGATTAATCAGTAACGCACTACACCAACAGACAACAGTAATCATACAGGGAGGGTGGGGGGGGGGGGTAATGGTAATTGTAAAATTTAATGAAGAAAAAATAAATTCGAATAATCATTAATATATACCCTTTTCAACTTTGCTTTAAATGAAGTTATATTTGTTGAACTCTTTATTTCCTCTGAGAGATTATTCCACACGCGTTGACTAAATAAAAACTGTGTATTAACTTTGGGATAATGATATTTTTTACTTGAGCGAGTATTGTGTGTTGGGGCCCCTGTGTTTTTCTGTGACTACACTGAGCGGAAATAATTAATCCCGAACCGGACGTGTGGTTATACACCAAGGAAAAAGCTACCCCCACAACCTGTACGTACTTAGGCATCTTATTCTTGGAAACACGTGAAAAGTGATACATAGAATTACATGCCTTTAGACTTGTTGTGTATTAGCACCTATAATAAATTATATTATATTGGCGTAGCTCCATGCATGACTGGGGACACGGTGGGAGAGGGGGGGGGCACACGCCCCAAATTAAATAAATCGTGCAAAAAGAAGAGAGAGAGGGCGGGAGAGAGAGAGAGAGAGGAAAAAAAAGGGGGGGGGGGTGGTAAGAGAAAAGGAAGAGGGAATAGGAAACGCGAAAAGAAGATGATACAGCCCCTTCCACACACCCCTTAATCAAATTACATCCATAAGGAAAAAATGGAGTGCCCCTTTGATGCCGACGCCACTCCTTATCTGGACCCGCAATACGCTATACCGTGTGAGTAAAAGAAAAAAGTTTACACCTAGCAAATTGCTAATTATTTTTAAAATCATCTTTGAACAGTAAATTATTATACATCTTATGAAAGAGTGTTTTATCCCAAATCATTTGGTATCATTTTTGTGTGGTATGTGTTCACACTTGGATGAACAGGAGGCATTGTTTTGTGAGAGTGCAAAAATCGACTTGCGCCAAAGTGATGCCTATGTATTATGTTGGGATTAGCGGAGTGTGGGAATGAACTGAATGTATCAAATGAAATGCATTGCATATGCTTTTTGCAGAAGCAAAGTCACACACTCACTAACACACACACACGCACAAATATTCTTTGATATGTGATATGTGTCGCATGATTAATTTTGTTAAGGATGTTATTTGGTAAAGACCCAATTAATACCCAAATCCAAATCGTTTTATTCAAACATCACATTAGCAACTTTGGCGCAAGTCGGATTTTTGAACTCTCGCAAACAATGCCTCCTGTTCATCCAAGCGTGAACACATACCACACAAAAATGATACTAAATGATTTGGGATAAAACACTCTGTCATAAGATGTATAATAATTTACTGTTTATAGACGGTTTTTAAAATAATGAGCAATTTTCTAGGAGTAAACTTTTTTTTGACTCACTGTATAAGCAGTAATACAAAAGTGCAATAGTATTCTCTATGAAAAACAGACGTCACTCTTCGCCTCTATATACATGAATAAATTGTATAGAAGTGTCATGAAATTTAGGAACAGCAAAGAGAAGGGATAATATAAATCTTCTTTGCCTTAGATCTATAGTTTTAATGAAGTGGCACTTATGGTACACCAAAATTCGTATAAAACACACACTTTAATTTATGTCGGATATAATATGTTACCTATCACATTAATACAAAATGTCTATTGCGTGTACATGTATGTTACAAAAAAAAAATTCCTCAGATCAGTTATTAGCGTAGAACGTGGGACTTTACAATAAATATTTTAACAAATTTAAATGTGTAAGGTGGAAAAAGAGGCTTGCACATATTTTTAATTTGTTATTATTGTCCGGATTTTCTTTTAAGTTCTGGGAGGTAATTTCTGGCGAACATGGCATCGACCCGACTGGCAGCTACAATGGTGATTCCCAACTACAGCTTGATCGCATCGACGTCTACTACAACGAGGCTAACGGTGGAAAGTATGTCCCGAGAGCCGTGCTCGTCGATCTCGAGCCAGGCACCATGGACGCAGTCCGTTCTGGTCCATTTGGTCAGATCTTCAGACCAGACAACTTCGTCTTCGGTCAGAGCGGAGCAGGGAACAACTGGGCCAAAGGACACTACACAGAGGGCGCTGAACTAGTGGACTCTGTCCTAGATGTTGTCCGCAAAGAGTCAGAAGGATGCGACTGTCTTCAGGTAAGAAACAAATAAAAAATACGAAATAACTATCAAAATTAATTTTTAAATTGCTTACTCCTCTTCTAATGTATAAAACATCATGCTGAAAGAAAACGGGTGATGGCTTTTACATTATTAGAAGTAAATCGTGAGATCATTTTCACTTTTCCTTCTGGCAAACCATTCTTCGTAAATTATGTATTCAGGTTTCAATTCATATGGTTACTCCTTTCCCTAATGTATAAAACATCATGCTAAATGAAAAGGGCTAATGGCTTTTACATTATTAGAAGTAATTGGTGAGATCATTTTCTCTTTTCCTTATGGCAAACCAGCCTTCCTAAATATTGTATTCAGGTTTCTCAATTCATGTGGTATAGGATAATTAGCTAACAGTATATCGAAATCGGTACACCACATTGAAGTTGTGTTTTACAACTCAGAACAATACTGTTATTAATTTAAGGACGATTACGTTAATAACTGGCCCAGATGACAAACCAATCTGTCCAATCATTTTTGTTTGGCTCCGGGGAAGCGACCTTTGGTTCAATGGACTTTACCACACTAGCAGATCACTATTATGAAGATAACATTTTCCGATGTGACGTGAACGTCCTTCCTGCAAGGCTATTTACTTCTCTATCTGATACCACGTTTCCTGTTATTGCGATTAAAAAAAAAAAATTGGTTATGAGCTTTAAAAAAAACAGTATGTGAGAGATTCTGATTCAGTTAATAATGGATTGACGGGGATTCAAAGGCAAAGACTATCAAGTGCCTGTAAAGGAATATTTAATAGTCTAGATTAGATAGGCCTAATATTAAGTGTTAACGTACCAAACTATCATACAGGAGTGATTGATATGACATGTACATTCCAATCCAATTGAATGAAATCAGTATCAAATCTGGCAATTCACTTCAGTTAGGTCTATTTACACTTTTATCATTTGAGATTGGTTACCACATCATGCCATTTTACTTGTCAAATGTCTTTGGCAAATATTGTATGATTGAAGTGGTATTATATTGTCCTCATAATTTATTACGTTTAATCTATTCTCAGGGGTTCCAACTGACCCATTCCTTGGGAGGTGGTACAGGGTCTGGCATGGGCACACTTCTAATCAGCAAGATCCGAGAAGAGTTCCCAGATCGCATCATGAATACATTTAGTGTGACCCCTTCACCTAAGGTGTCTGATACCGTTGTCGAACCCTACAACGCCACACTGTCCGTCCACCAACTGGTCGAGAACACCGATGAGACGTTCTGCATCGACAACGAAGCCCTCTATGACATCTGCTTCCGAACCCTGAAGCTCACTACTCCGACCTATGGCGACCTGAACCATCTTGTGTCTGCAACCATGAGTGGCGTCACAACTTGTCTCAGGTTTCCTGGTCAGCTGAACGCAGATCTTCGTAAGCTAGCAGTCAACATGGTTCCATTTCCACGTCTTCACTTCTTCATTCCTGGCTTTGCTCCTCTGACAAGCCGGGGAAGTCAAAAGTACCGCGCCATGACAGTTCCTGAGCTCACCCAGCAGATGTTCGACGCCAAGAACATGATGGCTGCCTGTGATCCCCGACTTGGTCGCTACCTAACCGTTGCAATTATCTTCCGTGGTCGTATGTCCATGAAGGAGGTCGACGAACAGATGCTCAACATCCAGAACAAGAACAGCAGCTACTTCGTCGAATGGATCCCCAACAATGTCAAGTCTGCTGTCTGCGATATACCCCCGCAAGGTCTGAAGATGTCTGGCACTTTCATTGGCAACAGTACCTCCATCCAGGAGCTCTTCAAGCGTATCTCTGAGCAGTTCACAGCCATGTTCAGACGAAAGGCCTTCCTTCATTGGTACACTGGTGAGGGTATGGACGAGATGGAGTTCACTGAGGCTGAGAGCAACATGAACGACTTGGTGTCTGAGTACCAGCAGTACCAGGACGCCACCGTCGAAGATGAAGGTGATTTCGATGAGGAAGACCCGGAGGAGGAAGAAGACGAAGAAGCCGCTTAGGTCATTCGACACCCTCATCATGTACTCTTCACCCTGGTTTAATATGGAACTAGAAATTCGGGAGCGAAAGGTTATAAGAAACCATATATTTCATTTATTTTCAATTATACCAGTAATTATGAAACTACGGGAGATAAGTCTTTAAACCTTCCCGAGTCTCGTGGCTTGGGATGATTGATTTTGGCCAATCCAATATCCATAAGATCTTTCATTTACTAATGAAATTATCATGTGACAAAACTGTCACATGAAAAAAATGGTGTATTTCTTATATCAAACGGGTTTAAGAGAAAAAACAAAAAATGCGTACGATGATTTTCGTTGTACAAAATTCGGAAAGATTTATTGGTCCAATAAGGAAAATTAGACGGAGGGTCATTTAACTGAAGGCAAGATTTTTAAATCGTGAGAAGATCTTTGTCCACGACTGTCTGCACAAGGGATGCATTTGCATTTTGAAATCGCACAATATATACCTACACATTATATTTTCTATTTCTTCTATTCCCCATTATCTGCATCTTATCCACCTTTCCTACATATCAGAGGCATTGTGGTCTAGGGGGTACGTCAACGGACTGTTTATGATTTGCAGTTCGATACCCAGCCAAGGTACTAATGTCCTTCAGCAATGATATGTCAATCTCCATTTGCTATAGTCACCACTTACTGAAGGGATATCTATTAGGAAGCACTTCCTTATAATGCCTTACAGGGCAGACTAGCTTGCTAAAGCCAGGGGAGATATATACAGTGCGTCCCAGAAAAAACGAAACCGAGAATTATCGATGGTTATCATAACTTAATCATAATTATAATTGATAAATGACACATATTTGGAAAGCTTAGATCCTCCTCTTTTATTTAATCCTCTTCAAATTCATTTTAATCACTCATGCGTGACATATGCATCATATGAGTTGCATCAAAGTTATGATAAAACATCGATAATTTTCGGTTTCGTTTTTTCTGGGACGCACTGTATAGCTATTATCATCATACCATTTTCCTCCGTTAGTCTGTCAATTTGTCTGTCGGTATGTCCCTACTCCTTTCCCCTTTCTTACTCAAGGAACATCGGTTATGTTAGTTGTTAGTTTCTAAAATTGATTAATGATAATTATATAAAATTAATGAACTAAAATCTCTCAATTATAGGTACTGAACCATTGTATACCATTGCAGAGCAGAAAAATAAAATTCTTTGGCTGAAACAATATCAACAACTTTCCCAAAATGAATATACGACTTCTCCGTTTGGAATGCAATAAAGATAAATGAATGACACACTTCTTCGTCGTGTGTTCATGTTGTGTTCTTGTTGTTGTGACGTAATTCTTAGTCAGGGCGGAACATAATGATGAAAAGTGCCGGCAAGGTTAATGTTAATGTTGATGGTAACAACTTTCTGGGTGATGGTGATATTGATGATGATGATGATGATGATGGTGGTGATGATGATAATGATGGTGATGATGATAATAATGATGGTAATGGTAATGCTGAAAAAGGGTTCCGAGGCTGATAATGATGATAATGGGGAGGAAGAGGATGAATATTATAGTGATATTGATGCTAATGGTGATGATATAAGCCAGTTTACGGTTGCAGTCTGAGCATGAGCAGATAAAGGTCATTTGTACCAAAAAGGTAAAACCCACAGAGATGAATACTGGATATATGCGCTCATGAAAGTTATGTAACATTATTCATTTATGCACCAACGGTACATACTAAGATACGCTGGTGGAAGTATTCTTTTCAAGAGGGCAAACAAAAGGTATTCATGAAGCACATCTAGGACTTTGGCAGTTATTAATAGGGACTTTTAGATTTGCTTGGACTAATACGTGTGACGTCCATTCAAGGCAGTGCTTTAAAAGGACGTCGAGCGTAGCATAGACCCATTGTCTTCGTGCGAATCTAAAAGTCCCTATTCTCAAAGTGGAACTTCTCCATGTGTAAAAGATCTGTGGATATTTGGGGTCATTTGTACCATTGTGCTATCTTTAAACTCCCTTATTGATGATGATGATAATGATGATGATGATGGTAGTGGTGATGACGGTGGTGGTGATGGTATAGAGATGAGAAAATTAATTTCAATTCAATTCAATTTAATTCTTTTTATTCATCCAAATTCACAAGAATACATGGAAATTTGTTTTGATCACACATTGTAAAAAATACGTAATAAATATGTATGAGAAACTATACCGTAGTGTTTATAATCATAGAAGTACCATCTAAATAAAAGGTAGGCAAAATAGAAATATTCTTATATTCTAGTATTACACATTGAAAATAATGAAGAAAAAAAAAACATCAGTGTGAAGGAAGGAAGGAATGAAACCACGCCAAGCCGATACTTCGGCCCATGCACATGCTTCTCAATGGCGTTGAGCACGGTGTTGAGGGGAAGATGCTTACAAATGGCATAATATGGTTGTAAAAATAACAAAATTCTAACGACCATGCCTGTTACCCAGTATCAAGAGCCATCTTATACACAGAGGTTGACCAATTTGGTTTTCCGACTGTTGGTCACAACAAAGCGTATATTCTTTAGTCTTATGCCTGCCAACAAGGCAGTATTCGCCATACTGAGTTTATCTCGAACCGGTTGGCCAAACTCTCCAAATCAGTGTGACTGTCACCTCTGTTACCTCCGCCACCTCGACTCCAAACCGACCGACCGATCTTTAATTAGCCCTTCGTCGTAATGTAATATTTTGCTTGGTCTATTGTAGGTCTGGCGTCGATCACGTTTGTGTGACTGAGGAATAATAATACTACTACTTCTACTAATAATAATAACGTTGTATTTACCCAGGGTAGCCACTTCAGTTATGAAACTGTTCTTCCAGCGGGCCCTGCATAACATAATATTTTATTACTACCCTTCTCCAATATAATATGCTGAACGCCTAGCTAGAAGGCAGAAGGTCCCATTGTTATAAGTCTTTGGTATGACTCGGTCGGCCGGAGTTCGAACCCACGACCTCCCGTTCATGAGGCGGGCGCTCTAACCACTGAGGCATTCGTATTCCTGGAAGAGATCACTGTCACTGGAAAATCTCGATCACCCCCTTCGGACAATTTTCCTTGATATCAAGGATGGAAAACTCATTCACCGTATAATCCAGGCATGCAGTAATCATTACTATGGCATGACGTAACGTAGCTGTGTATAACTTGACAACAATATTTAAAATAGATTTCATATCATTGACAATATCATTATAACCTTCCTTCTCATTATCTTTCAGAATGATCAGGAATGTTAACTTGTTACCTCGACTAGGTTTTATCTTTTTCTGACATATTTTGATAATTTTATAAAACATGAGGTATTACCTTATACTTAGTATACTTATCCTGCGTTATTAGTGGTGAATGCAACTTATGATGTTCCCCAGAACGTATATTTCCAAACTATTGATCTCTATGTGTTATTATGTAACTCAGAGTTTTCACTTTACACATTATTTAAATCCTTTAAATTAGACAATTCAAGGATTTGGGTGGATATGGTCTATTTTCAAACTGCATTGGTCATGAATTAACGATATCAGCAAATTGTCCAATGTATTTTAACGGACCAATCTGTTCATTTGTGCTGACGTATTTTCGATGGCTTAAATGATTAAATTCTCTGTGAGGGGTCGAGTTGCCTATGCAACTGTATTTAGAGAATGATTAACCTTCATTCTGTTTAGTTTATCTCCATGTAAACGAAGAGTTCTGGCCTCTGACGTAACTTGTATTTGTTTTTTAACGAGACGAAGATACAACCACCGCCACTCCCGCCTAAATATCGTTGCTAACGGTTATTTTTCTCAGACGTGTTCGAGAATTCGTGGTGTATAGTACCTTTGTTTCGTTCTGCTTTGTAAAAGTTTTAATACCACCATCATGCGTGAAATTGTACATCTGCAAGCTGGCCAGTGCGGCAACCAGATCGGTGCTAAGGTATGTGACTACTTTGTTTGGTTTCCCCCGTTCATTCTTCTGCCATAATTTTTTCTTAACTTTGAAGTCATAATCCTTTGAAAAAGAGATACAGTGTATTCATAATTATATTTTGCAAATCGAAAACTTACATGACGCGTTGATTTATCTGGTAGTTGAATGTTCTAAGTCGATAGAGGGTACCTCCAATATTATTCTTCCGAGTAAGATTATAACTGGATAAAGTACAAACTATATAATTGAAGAAAAATAATATTCAACTAATTTCCTAGCACTGCTTTGGATGAAAGAAAAAATCAGAGGAGAACAAATAATCTCGATTCTAAGATCGTCATTATACACAGACATAGAAAAAGAAAAGATTTAGAGAAAAAGGTGCAATATTCAACTATATCGCTATTCATGAAAAGCGTTTAATTTGTTTATAATTTCGGAGGATAGGGGATAAAACCTATAGGAGACAAAGCATTTAAATAAAGCTTTCTGCCATATCGGCTGCGAGGCGGTAGTGCTAATGTATGATATCGTAGAACACTGTATCCATTTTTTTCTTCTAATCAAGTATACTTCAAATGATTACAGACTCTTATTGTCAAACTTGAAGACGCTATTTTCAAGAGCTAATTAACAATACTTAGGTTTAAATCTACTAATTATTATGAAGTAAACGAAACAGAGGTGGCGTGGTTTAAAATTCTTAGGTTGAACAGTCACCATGCACAATGTACTGTAGGTAATCATTAACTTAGTGTTGATCTTTAATATTAAATGTCCGGCTTTACTTGACATCCTTTTACCAAGGCGGATCTAGGTTCAAAGGACGCCACCAATGACACAACCACCACCACCACCATCACCACCCCACTCCTTTTACATGTTTTATCTGTGTATTAAGATGATTAAAATCCTGATATCATTTTATAGCTGAAACGGATCGTGGATTCGATCTCACATCTCAACAACCGTGTGATAAACCTGTTTGGATAATCAAACTGTCCAAAATACGTCCATGCCATTAATGAATCCTGGTCCTGGCGTTCACATTTAAAATCTGTACAGTGTCTCTACATGACAAACACAGTTCACCAATGCACTCTTTTTTAGGGGGGGGGGGGGTGAAGAAGATAACGTTGTCATTTTGGCAAAGTCTGATCTTTGAAGGCTACATACATTCAATTGTTTTCTTGATTCACTTTCTGATGGACACATATATCAGCAAAAAATACGAAAAAAGGAACAAATTGATCATGGTATATAAAGCTTTAATCGGTCATATATTCTTCTCTTCCATCGTCTCACTTCCATCTACCTGTTCAATAAATACCTCTATATTTTACCATTTGTGAAGATTATTCATCTATTCGAATTTCCATGATTTTGCTCTTTCGACTTTAGTTCTGGGAGGTGATTTCTGATGAACACGGAATCGACCCGACCGGTACCTACCATGGCGACTCTGATCTCCAGCTGGAGCGTATCAACGTCTACTTCAATGAGGCCACCGGCGGCAAGTACGTTCCACGAGCCGTGCTCGTCGATCTCGAGCCAGGCACCATGGACTCGGTCCGATCAGGTCCCTTTGGTCAGATCTTTAGACCAGACAACTTCGTCTTTGGTCAGAGCGGGGCAGGGAACAACTGGGCAAAGGGACATTACACAGAGGGCGCTGAACTGGTGGACTCCGTCCTAGATGTCGCTCGCAAAGAGGCCGAGAGCTGTGATTGCCTTCAGGTAGGTCTACGTTTAAATGTTATCAACAAACATAAATAGATGCTCGTATCTTTAAAAAGTTGATATTGACCAAAAACAAGTAAAGCAGCAGAATCATAGCAGAAGGAATTATCTCTTTGTTTTTTTCTGCTTCACAGGGATTTCAACTAACCCATTCTCTTGGTGGAGGCACCGGTTCCGGCATGGGAACCCTTCTGATCAGCAAGATCCGTGAGGAATACCCTGACCGCATCATGAACACATTCAGTGTGGTACCATCTCCTAAGGTGTCAGATACAGTTGTTGAACCCTACAACGCTACCCTGTCCGTCCATCAGCTGGTTGAAAACACAGATCAAACCTACTGCATTGACAATGAAGCTTTGTACGATATCTGCTTCCGCACATTGAAGCTGACAACTCCTACCTATGGTGACCTGAACCATTTGGTGTCTGCAACCATGAGCGGTGTCACAACCTGCCTCAGGTTTCCTGGACAGTTGAACGCAGATCTGCGCAAACTGTCCGTCAATATGGTTCCCTTTCCCCGTCTCCATTTCTTTATGCCTGGCTTTGCCCCTCTAACCAGCCGTGGTAGCCAGCAGTATCGCGCCCTCACTGTTCCTGAACTCACCTCACAAATTTTCGATGCCAAGAACATGATGGCTGCTTGTGATCCTCGTCACGGTCGCTACCTGACTGTCGCTGCAATCTTCCGCGGTCGTATGTCCATGAAGGAGGTTGACGAACAGATGCTAAACATCCAGAATAAGAACAGCAGCTACTTCGTGGAATGGATCCCGAACAACGTCAAGACCGCTGTCTGTGACATCCCACCACGAGGTCTCAAGATGTCCGCCACCTTCATTGGCAACAGCACTGCCATTCAGGAGCTCTTCAAGCGCACCTCTGAGCAGTTCACCGCTATGTTCAGACGCAAGGCCTACCTCCATTGGTACACTGGTGAGGGTATGGACGAGATGGAGTTCACTGAGGCTGAGAGCAACATGAACGACTTGGTGTCCGAGTACCAGCAGTACCAGGATGCCACCGCCGAAGAGGAGGGCGAGTTTGATGAAGAAGAAGAGGAAGAGGAAGAGGCATAATAAATTGCCCTCGATGTGTTTTTAGACTTTTATCTTTTTGAATTTATTTTTCCAAATCATAGCAACAAATAATTCTGAAGGGAAGGGTGGGGCGGAGGGGGAGGGGGGGGGGGGAGTTGGCGTGACAGGGAATATTGTGTTTTCGGGGTGGTTATCTAGAATGTGAAATAACGGTCATTGTTGCAATTTGACCGATGACCTTTTTAATATCTATATTACGTGGTGTATTTTGTACTACCAATGAATATCGATGGTAAAACATTGAATTTGACCAACTGTCAACAAAATAGAGTCACGTCTTCATTGAAATACATGTATAAACAGTTTTGAACCCCAATAAATAACCAATGATGTTTACTGAATAAACGTATTCTGCTTTATGTTCGGAAATTGCTTTTTGGTAATAGACGATTGTGTAATATCAAGGGATGATAATGGTGATGGTGAGGGTGATGATGATGATGAGGATGATGATGATGGTGATGATGATGGTGGTGTTAGTAGTAATGGTAATGATAATGGCAGTGATTATGACAACGATAACGATGATGGTGATTAAGATGATGATGATGTCGATCATGATGGGGGTGATGATGATGATAAGTGTGATTAATATGATAATCATGACGATGATCTTGTTGGTAGTTGTGATGATTAAACCCACAATAAATGGTGATTATGATGGTGATCATGATGATAATTATGATAACGATGATTATGATAACCATGAAGATGATGACGATTTCCATGATGATAATAATGATGATGTCGATGATGATTTCGATGACGACAGTCATGATGAATGTAATGCTGACAGTAAAGAATAGGATTGTGACGATGAACATCGAGGGATATGATTATGGTGGTGATGGTAGTGCTAATGATGATGATGATGACTAAGATAGAGAGGATGATAAAGATCAGTTCACATCATAACGGAAAAGTAATGTAGAGACGTTGTGGTCGAGTTGGTTAATCAGTTGACTGCAAAAGCAAATGTCGTGGGTTCGAGCCCCGATACAGAACTTTATGTCATTGAGAAAGGCATTTTATCTACATTAGGCCATTACACAATATATACATATTTAGCGTCCCCGCCCGCTTCCTTTTTTGGGGCCGCCTCCTATTTATTTTTTTCTTATTTTTGTTGTTGATTTTTTTAAATATATTTTTTGATTTTTTAAAGAAAAAAAACATGAAAAACACTGCTAATATGGATCTATTTTTTATTTAAAAAAAAAAAATGTCGGCGGCCATCTTGAAAAAAAGCCCGACTGTCAGGGAAAATGTACCGAGCGGCCATTTTGAGCGGCCATTTTGAATGAAAAAAAGAAAAAAAAAAGGGCCTCCCCCTTCCTATTTTTCAAAAAGGCAGGACGTAAACATATATTTTTTTATTTGGCCTTACTGCTTTCCATCCAGGTGTTAAATCGATAACCGGTAGGATGCAAATGTCACCATATGGCCGGAAAAGCACACATGCGCCTGTAGAATTGCCACTCGGCTGAAATGCTCCCAAGTAGAGTGGAGAATGTGCACTATAAGTGCACTATAAATACAACAACGACTGAGGTAATGGTAACTGTGGAATACTTTGTTCAGTTATACTTCATTGGAAATGCGCGATGAAAATAATTAAAATACACGTAGCTTATTATTTATCATTCATGATTAAAGCGTGCATTAAAGGGATAGTTGAGTTTTGTGGCAGAGGGCAATACACAATTTTTTTTGGTGAGATAATGAAAAACTGAGTGTCAAATTTGAAAGAACATACAATTTAAATGACAAAATCATCTTTGTTTGATCGAAATCGGTTCAGAGACGGCTGAAATATCCATAAATATAACGATTTCTAATATATTTTGTGTACCACCACAAATATTCGATAATTTGAAAAAGCCGTTGAAAAAACGAAATAGCGCCTTTTACGTTATATTTCAGCCAAAGCCGATGTTGGATTTTATGTTGGCTTTGTCGTGTTGGTTATATTACGCACAACCAGCCGGCCCATATATTGTTGTTATTAACTAATTAATTAATTAATTAACGGTCACCGTATTTTTTTTAAAGTTGAGCTGAATTGGTATGATCGTATTGGCTAAAGTTTACACATTTTGGGGTCTAAAATTACCTTCATAGCAATTTTAGGTTCCAAAAGGGCACCAGACATGTCATAGATAAGAATAAGAGCAATAAGCATGCACTTTGAAGGCATTTGCGGTCTGAAAACAGAACTCAACTATCCCTTTAATGTGGATGGTTATTCTAAACCGGATAAGCATTGATTCACAATGTTACCTTTTCAAATTCATCAAATTGGAACAATATGTTAGCTCCTCGAACTATTTTTGTAACCTACAACGTTTACTTTGAATATATATACCTAATTAGTATTTATTTTTTCTATTTATCCTCTTTCGAGGGACTTTATTTGTTCATATCATAAAATAACAGCTATTTACAACAGTGTTTAAATACAAAATTCATGCAATTGTAACATATCATACATAGTACAGAACATGAAACTAATGTGACATAATCACTAACTAAAATAATGAAAACATTTTTGTAACTTTTGTAACTTCGTTTGTATCGAATTTCTTTTGATTACATTTCATATTGAGATAGGTGCGAATTTCCACCTTTAATTCTTTTATCCAATATACAGCATGTATCCTGTGCTTTTCACTTCCAAAACATTCTCTAATATAGTTCCTATAGATAATAAACTGAGCGAAGTTTAAAATGAGATTGACAAGATTCATTTCTCTTCTCTCTATTTCATGACCTATTAAAAGAATTTCTTCGTTCAAAAGGATTTTAAAATTAAACAAAGTATCAATTAATTTGGATACAATCTTCCAAAAAAGCGAAACCTTCTTGCAAGCCAGGAGAAGGTGGTTAGTTGTGTCTGGAATCTTACATATCACATAGATTATTATTTTTAATCTTCCATTTACATAAATTGTCTTTACTGGGCAATATTCTATGAAGATATTTAAAATTAAACTGCTTAATTCTGTTGTCATTTATAAAGTAAAATTTATAATGGAGCAACGTTTTCCAGTTAAACTCATTGGGTAAATCAAAATAAGCGTTCCAAAAATAAATGCACGGCAGATTCTGTCTATTTTTTACTAACATCAAATTATAATAGTGTTTGGCTTTCATGACCGCTACATCAATGGAGTCACCTGTTACTATTTCTATTGTACTGGATTCCACTGCAGACGGTGGACTATTTACATATTGTAACCTATTACGTAATTTCTGCAACCAAAAATTCGGGAATGCACTTTTTAACTTTGCCAATTTGAAGGCGGAAAGTAATTCATTTTCTTGAAAATTAATACAAATAGAATCAACTTCTTTCCAGATACCGTTAACTAAGACTTGTTTCACTTTAAAAATATTGTTTCTCATCCAGTTTGGAAAATACAATAACTCATTCATAGCTTTAATATTGCTATTATACCAAATCATTTCATTTTCAATATCTGTTACTTTAAACATATCAATATATTTTAATTCAGCCCAAGAACAAAACATGTCAACATAAAAGTTAGGCAACTGTTTTTTTCCTACAAATACGATACATATCGCTCTTTTTGCAATTAAAATGCAAACAAAGTGGCAAATCCCCAATTTTCTTGATCCAATATTTAAACAAAATTTTCCAAGCACTTTGTTCATCTCTTAAATATTTATGAATCCATGAAAGACGGAGTGACCGGCATTTTGACTCTAAGTCGATCATTCCCAACCCCCCTTCTACTTCAGGATTGTGACAGATGTTTCGTTTCACCTTTTCTGTTTTAGAATTCCATAAAAATGTGTAAGCCAGTTTATTTATACGTTTAATTATTTTAGAAGGGATCGGAACTGCCGTGGCAGTATGTACTATCTGAGACATAACTAAATGTTTAATCACAACAACTTTTCCGTACAATGTAAGTTTTCTCATTTTCCATAAATCCAAGGTATTCTTTATTTTCTCTACTTTACTTTCCCAGTTTAAATTTTGAACGTCAAAAGAATTTTTACCTACATAAATAATTAGTATTTAGGAACCCATTCAATTCCTCCTTTTCTACTTCCCTTCCAAGCCTAATTTGTGATTAGTCCTTTTTTTCCTGTTCTAACGTAATATTCCTACCATTGTTTAATGATGAAATATTTTGTTTATGTTTTACGCCGTTTGTAATTAATTAAAGTTCAAGCACTTTTTAGTATAAAATCATTTGTAATTCAGCTCTTGAGCTGCGATGATGATTATTGAATAAATACCATAATTATTATACCATTTTGTAGCAATGATGAGGGTTTTAAATCATCGTTTTATGGTAGGTGAACAGTCTTGTCAATTTCGTTTTTACTTTAATCAACGATCTTTATGTGTCTTTCAAAACATCGACGGAGGTTACACGTCGATAGGGCAACGGTATCTTTAGGAATGACTAACAGGCATTCTATTTGGTTTATCTCCATGCAAACGAAGAATCATTATCTGTGATGTAACCAATATTTGTTCTTCAATCTCATGAAGGCTTACAGATTAAAACCCCGCCTAAATATATCGTTGCTAACGGTCATATGTCTCAGACGTCTTCTAGAATTCGTGGTGTGTAGTTGTTCTGGTTTATAAAAGTCTTGATACCACCATCATGCGTGAGATTGTACATCTACAAGCCGGCCAGTGCGGCAACCAGATCGGTTCTAAGGTATGTGAATGTGTTTTGCCATTCGATATATAAATATTTTTTAAAATCCATTTTCTCTTTTCCTATAAGAAGCGTATAGAGAAAAATCGCACAGTGACATTTTAAATCACTGACTTTTTAAAACTTAAAAAAAAATTAAACCAATTTATGAGGCCAATTCTTTGACTAAGACGGTATTATGGACGCAGAGAAAACAAGGGCATACTAACAAGAATTATCTTAATATCGATGACCATAAAAATCTTGGCTTAAGTGATGATGAGTTTACCGACATACGTGTACATGCATTTCTGTAGAAAGCTTTTAGTTTTAGATAGATCATTAGATGATCATTATAGTCTTGTCGTGGCTACATATGCGACGACAAGACCTGATGTGACTCCAGATTTTGACGTCATGTTAAAGCCTGTCTGAACTAGTTTGGCCAGGAGGGATTAAACCTCCCTGCATGGTCACTGACAAGTGATTATCTCATCAAATAAGCTCTCAATAAACATAAGAAAAAGGGAACCATGGGGGACCAACGGTTACCGATTAAGCATTGTTTGGTATATAGAGGGCGCAAGCAGCTACAAGTACAGTGGGGCTTTAAGTATCATGGAAACTGTGCTCAAAAGGATAATTTACAGTAATATTAATTTCTTGATATAAAATTAATTGAAATAAAGACACTGTTATGGAATTCTTATCTCGAGTGTCAGATGCAACCTGTAATTTATGTCACATTCACCCCGAATTTTAGTAACTATTAAAGCTTATCAACACTAGTGTGGCTATGAGGTATTAGACCACCACACAGCGAGGTCACTGATAGGTGGCTATCTCATTAACTCAGCTATCAAATAACATAAGAAATAGAGGATCATGGGGGACCAACAGGCAAGTTTTCTATCTAGAGGGAGCAAGTAGCTACAAGTAGGACAGTGGGGCTTTAAGAGTGTCGATTAAAACAACTTCACTATCCATCACTGAAAATAGATGTTTGGGTGGGTTAGTTTGACAGAAATCAATCGACAATAATTGATTCATGTGCTAAAATCGCATATCAGTTAAAATATTAGCTATAACTAAGACATGATTCGGGAGTTGTTACTAATTAAAACCTGAGACAGTCGTATACATAAAATATTCACTTTTTCTAAAAATCAAAACACATGATCATGACCTACATGCAAAAAGAAAACAACATGGACATTGTTCCAAAAGTGACAAAGAGACATTAAATATTTTTCCTATTTCATGTATTGAAAAGGTTTAGGACTGTCTATGTAGGGAAGAAAAATGAAGAAACTTTGGTGATTCTCTTTTGAACAGGGAGTCATCATGCTCGAGTAGTTAATGATTAATCCATATTTATTTTTGCTACTTAACCCTAATAAGGCCGGGGGGGGGGGCCATTATAGCCCCCCTCCACGATTTTTCTGATTGCTCGAGAACGCATATGGATGGCGCCGCGCCACTCGCTGACATTTTTCTTTCGAGTCTTGCGCAACTTTTAAAAGAATTTTTTGAAAATCGGACCTACGGTTACAAGGTCACGTGACCTTTTGTCTTTGCATGTCAGCCCGAAAATCGCTCATTTTCGTGATTTGTGTACAAAACATATGGAAAAGTCATTTTTCCTAAAAACAGATCAAACATGGGTTATTGGGTCTTGTTTAAAGTTAAGGTGGTTGTTTTGGGTGTCAAAATAGTTGAATTGTAGTAAGAAATGAAATAAAACAACAAAAACAATGAAATACATAAGTTAAAAAAACAATGAAATACATAAGAAATTATCAAAACAAGGAATAACATAAGGAATAAGCTGGCTCTTCCAAATTTGTTTGTTGTATTATTATTCAAAATGGTCTAATGAATATATGTAGTGAAAAAGAATGCCTAATTATGAATAATATATGATTTATGGGTAAAAATGTGAGTTTTATGACTTTATTTGCATAAATTACCATAAATATGCAAATGAGTAAATTTTTCAAAAAATTGAAATTATCATATTATTCTATACACTTCACTTTACATGCGTGCAAATTTTCGCGGCGATCTTAATGGGGGGGGGGGGGGGCATAATGCCCCCTGGCCATACTAAGACCTCAAATAGCCCAGCCTTATTAGGGTTAAGCCTATTAACAATCTTGAATGATTCAGTCTGGACCTTGTTTGATTTACCTATCCCGTGACTATGCGTTCTAATCGAATTTCCACAATGATTTTGCTCTTTCGAATTTAGTTCTGGGAGGTGGTTTGTGATGAACACGGAATCGACCCTACCGGTACCTACCATGGCGACTCTGATCTCCAGCTCGAGCGTATCAACGTCTACTACAATGAGGCCACCGGCGGCAAGTACGTTCCACGAGCCGTGCTCGTCGATCTCGAGCCAGGCACCATGGACTCGACCCGTTCAGGTCCTTTTGGTCAGATCTTCAGACCAGACAACTTCGTCTTTGGTCAGAGCGGAGCAGGGAACAACTGGGCCAAGGGACACTACACAGAGGGCGCTGAACTGGTGGACTCTGTCCTTGACGTCGTACGCAAAGAGGCCGAAAGCTGTGATTGTCTTCAGGTGTGTTAAAACAGGCATTATGCCATTGATTTTCAAAAGATAATAATTTGCAAAACAGTTACTGGAATATCTGAATCAAGAATCAAGTGGGCTGTTTTTTGGTAAACATCGGGTATTTGGTTAAAATCTTTTACATTTTTTTAAACAATTCGATTCTTTTTTTTTCTTCCTCCTTTACAGGGATTTCAACTTACCCATTCTTTGGGAGGCGGCACCGGTTCCGGCATGGGAACACTTCTGATCGGCAAGATCCGTGAGGAATACCCAGACCGCATCATGACCACATTCAGTGTGGTCCCATCTCCTAAGGTGTCTGACACTGTTGTTGAACCCTACAACGCAACCCTGTCAGTCCACCAGCTGGTTGAAAACACAGATCAAACCTTCTGCATCGACAATGAAGCTTTGTACGATATCTGCTTCCGTACATTGAAGCTTACCACACCCACCTATGGTGACTTGAATCATCTTGTATCTGTGACCATGAGTGGTGTCACAACATGTTTGAGGTTCCCTGGACAGTTGAACGCAGATCTGCGCAAACTGTCAGTGAATATGGTCCCCTTCCCCCGTCTTCATTTCTTCATCCCTGGCTTTGCTCCTCTCACAAGCCGTGGTAGCCAGCAGTATCGCGCCCTCACTGTTCCAGAGTTAACTTCGCAGATGTTCGACGCCAAGAACATGATGGCAGCCTGTGATCCTCGTCACGGTCGCTACCTGACTGTCGCCGCCATGTTCCGTGGACGCATGTCAATGAAGGAGGTCGACGAACAGATGCTAAATGTTCAGAACAAGAATAGCAGCTACTTCGTCGAATGGATCCCGAACAACGTCAAGACCGCTGTCTGTGACATCCCACCACGTGGTCTGAAGATGGCAGGTACTTTCATCGGCAACAGCACTGCCATCCAGGAGCTCTTCAAGCGCATCTCTGAGCAGTTCACCGCTATGTTCAGACGCAAAGCCTACCTCCATTGGTACACTGGTGAGGGTATGGACGAGATGGAGTTCACCGAGGCTGAGAGCAACATGAACGACTTGGTGTCCGAGTACCAGCAGTACCAGGATGCCACCGCCGAAGAGGAGGGCGAGTTTGATGAAGAAGAAGAGGAAGAGGAAGAACCATAACTTTCTTTGATGTCTCTTTATAACCTCTGATAAGTTTTAACATCAAAACAACAGAGGATCACGCTCATTCGTATCATCAGATGATACAAATTTTACTTAGTTTTTAGCCTGGAAGGAATTAATCCCTTCAAATGCTAGAGCGCCGTAATGGCAACCATGCTAAAGCCAGGGTAATTACTGGGAGCGCCAGGAGTGTTAGGTCTGACAGACATTAGAGCTATACAAGAACTCTAATATCATTATTATTATTAATATTATTATTTTAACTTTTGTAGCCGCTCTTTATGTATCTGTCCACAAACCGCAAATAAAAACGACTCTATTCTTTTCGTAAATAACGCACAATTTTTATTTTGCGTGCCATGCCTAATTATGTCAATCCCTATATTACTGTAGGAGAGCCAAGCTAACCGAAAATCTTTTTAATTTTCGATCACAGAGACTGTGAGACCGAAAGTTGAAAGAAGCTGTATGTATCCAAGACCGAACTTTCACGAAACCAAAGGCTCTCGACACCAAAAAGACACATACGCTTAAAGGGATAGTTGAGTTCTGTTGCAGAGGGCGCTACACAATTTTTTTTTTTTGTGTGAGATAATGAAAAGCTGAGTGTCAAATTTGAAAGAACATAATATTTAAATGACAAAATCATCTTTGTTTGATCAAAATCGGTTCAGACACGGCTGATGTGCTATATAAGTGCCCTTTTGTGGGGCATTAATCCTCATTACTGTCATTTATGACTTAAGGGCATAGGTCCCCTAATTGATAAGCATAGAAGCATACACATGCTTTAGCAGTCACGCAAAACGCACATTGGCAAATTATTATTCCATAAAATCTGAGAATGTATAATATTATCTAGATCTATTATTTTTTAATAATTTTTAAAATAATTCCATAAATTGGGGTAAAACTAAAATATTCCACCTTTATGAGCGACAGTATACAAAAGTCTGTAAAAATCAGCTAACACGCATATAGGTTACCCACCCTTCTAACCGACCCAATCCAAACCTTGCTATACGCTCAAAATAGTTTACAGTATAAATCAAAGGCATACATCTATATAATTTTTTTATGGAATAATATTCAACATTGAACAATGAAAATTGAGCTTGGATGAAGCTAAAATTTGGTTACAAGTGGAATCTAACACCATGGACCTATAAACCATTCATGCCAAAACCAACCCGGTACGTAAATGTAATATTGAATTGCGCCCTCTTCCAACCGAGTTGAACTTTCCTCTCCGTTAACAATGTTCATGCCTTCTTCATGCATGCATGTTTCATGCTTTATTTGATGTAAATAGTAAAATTTCATTTGTATTATTTAGATGTGAATGTAAAATCATATTCTATATAATAATATTAACATGCAGATTATTTTATGTATTGATTTTGTTATTGTTTGTGAAAAGCAATGGAGAAAATAAAATATCATTGAAAACAAAAAACAATAACAGGCTAATATAATGGTCGAGATTCTCACAAAACGTAGGCATGTTTTTAGTGGGTGTTTGTGTGGGTGTGTGTGTGTGCACGTGTGTGTGTGTGTGTGTGTGTGTATGTAAGTGTTTGCGTGCGTGTGCGTGTGTGTGTGTGTGTGTGTGTGCGTGTGTTTGTGTTTGTGAGTTAGAAGGTTGTAGAAATTTTGAAGAAAAGAATAATCCAATAATTTTTTTACAATAAAGATTTCTTATTGAAAAAGAAAATGATTTTTGAGGAGGAGTTGTTTATACGCAATATAATTTTAATTCAAGATATTTTTGCTGAAAATGGCAAGCGGGCAATATATATCATTTTCAAAATTTGGGTTTAAAAGGAAACAAAATTGTTGATGTACATTGGGGAAGCTATTTTGAGAAGCGGAAGAAAGGATAACTGGAGTTTAGTGGATGTAAAAGAGTATGGTATTTAAATGCAGTTTAACAGTATTGTGAAGCTCCTCAGAGATGTATTATCGAGGAAGGTTTATGAATATTTTATAGAGAAGTTACACAATTTATTTGTCTTGAAGATTCATGATGGACGGGAATTTTCAGATTTTTCAAATAAGGTATGTAGGGAGATATTTAGTAGGACTAGGAAAGTTACTCTTGTTAACAGACTAACAGAAATTCAGTATAAACTGCTTCATGGAGCAATACAGTGCGTCCCAGAAAAAACGAAACCGAGAAGTATCGATGTTTTATCATAACTTAATCACAACCATAATTAATGAATGATACATATTTGGAAAGCTTACAGTCTCCTCTTTTAGTTGATGCTACTCAGATGATGCTTATTTTACGCATGAGTGATTAAAAGCAATTTGAAGGAAGGAAACCAAAAAGACATTTGGCGGGCGGTATCTGAATTTCGAAGAGAAATTCACATTTCTAGAAAGTTAAGTTTCTGCTCTTTCATATGACACCTCAATCAGGAAAAATGAGCGAGGAATAACAAAGTTCTGTTTGCTTAAAGTAGCCCTTACATTTTCATAATTTTAACAAACGAATTCGTTTTCACTGGGTGCCTGCCGTACCAAAAAGCAGATTTGACAAAAGACTTAACTCCGTTTCGTTGACAATCAGCCATGCATGAAGACTCTCGTCTACGGCTGATTGTCAACAAAACGGAGTTAAGTCTTTTGTTAATTTCGTTTATTGATACGGCAGGCAGCCGGTGAAAACGAATTCGTTTTATAAAATTATGGAAATGCAAGCACTACTATAAACAAACAGAACTTTGTCATTCCTCGCTCATTTTTCCTGATTGAGGTGTCATATGAAAGGGCAGAAACTCAACTTTCTAGAAATATGAATTTTTCTTCGACATTCAGATACCGCCCGCCAAATGTCTTTTTGGTTTCCTTCCTTCAAATTGCTTTTAATCACTCATGCGTGAAATATGCATCATCTGAGTAGCATCACATGAAAGAAGAGACTCTAAGCTTTCCAAATATGTATCATTCATTAATTATAGTTGTGATTAAGTTATGATAGAACATCGATACTTCTCGGTTTCGTTTTTTCTGGGACGCACTGTATATACTAGAGCAAAAGATAGAAACATATTTACACTTGTTCTGGGAGTGTGTACATGTTCAAAGATTATGGCAAAATGTAACAGCTAAGTTTGAGCTAAGGGAATTAAGGTCTATCGACTGGATAGATTAAAAAAAAATAATTAAAAAACGCTCAAAAAGGGTGGGGGGGGGGGGGGTTAACCCCCCCCCACTGCGTACGCACCTGGTGTTGCATGATGGGGAGGGGGGGGGGGGGGTAGTAGTGTGTTTGGTTGGATGGGGTTATTTGTTTTATGTTACAACTGAATTCATATTTTGTGTTCATCAATTGTACAATTTATGTAATGTAAATGTTTTGAATTCATGTCAAGGAATAACAACTGTACTTTATTTCTTAAAATTAATTTGTATTGTTTGGAATCAATAAAAAAAATATATTGACGAAAAAATAAGAAAAGAAAGGGTATGAAATCCAACAGTTTTTAATAGGTTTTTATTAGATTTAAAGTAAGAAACTGTTCTTTATATGTTTTCTGTGTCATTCTATATAAAGCAACTTTAACGATATTCGTGTGAATGTACTTTACCACTTTCATGACAACTCAGAGTGAAATGAATGACTTTAGTTCATAAAATCATGAGAAAACAAAGTTGGTCGAGTTGTTCGGATCGAGTGAAACCATACACTGGACAGCTAGACCCAGTCGAGTTGTCCAGGGCCCAGGCGCGGATCCAGGATTTCTTAGGGGGGGGGGGCCAAATTTAAAATTATGCGAGCCAAATATTGGTACGTAATGGTGACCAGCAGTGACGTAATTGGGGAGGGATGGTGGGTGCAGGGAGGGGCGAGTATCCTTCTCCTTCCTCCGCGAAGCGCGGAAGCTTTGACATTTCAATAAATTATTAGAGAAAGAAGACGATTCGTTGTGTCGTTATCGACTCTTAATCTTCGTCTAAATTCAGTTTTCCCCCTCCCGCGCGAAGCGCGGAAGCTTTTACGTTTCATTAAATCATTAGAGAAAGAAAACGATTCGTTGTGTCGTTATCGACTTTTAATCTTCGTCTAAATTCAGTTCCCCCCTCCCGCGCGAAGCGCGGAAGCTCTTACGTTTCATTAAATCATAAGAGAATGAAGACGATTCGTATTACCATTCTCGACTTTTAATCCTTGTCTGAATTTAGTTCCACACCCCCCTCTTGCGCGAAGCGCGGAAGCTTTGTGGTTTCCTTAAATTATTAGAGAAAGCAGACGATTCGTTGTACTGTTTTCGACTCTTAATCCTTGTCTGAATTCAGTTTCCCCCCTCCCGCGCGAAGCGCGGATGCTTTGACGTTTCCTTAAATTATTATAGCAAGCAGACGATTCGTTGTACCGTTCGCGGCTCTTAACCCTAATGTGTCCAAATTCAGTTTTTCCTCCTCCAAAAACCCCTGAGCTTCCGGGGGCGCTGCCTCCTGGATTCTACCTTGGGCCCTTAGGCGGGCCCCTGCGTGCTCATTTGACGGTAATAGGGACTTTTAGATTTGCGTGGACTAATACGTGTGACGTCCATTCAAGGCAGTGCTTAATAAGGACGTCGAGCGTAGCATAGACCTATTGTCTTCGTGCGAATCTAAAAGTCCCTATTTTAATGCCTAGAACCCCTGAGCTTCGAGGGCTCCGCCATCTGGACTCCACGTCAATTAGTGACCTGCCAGTGTCACAAAACGTTAATAAGGTATCAAAATATGCTCATCTTAAATAAATGCCTAAAACCCCGAGTTTCCACTGGCTCTGCCCCCTGGACCACACTTAGGGCCCTAAGGTGGGCCACTGGATGCTCATCTGATGGTAATTTATTGCCTAAAACCACAGAGCTTCTGGGGGTTCGGCCCCCTGGACCTCACGCCAATTAGTGTCCTGCCGGTGTCACAAATAAGGTTTCAAAATATGTTCATCTGATCGTAATTAAGTGCCTAAAACCCCCGAGTTTCCGGGGATCCGTTCCCTCGACCTCACCACGGGTTCTAAGGCGGGCCCCTAAATGCTTATCTGACCGATATAAAATTCGTAAAACCCCTGATCTTCTAGGGGGTGGACCCCACGCCATTTCGTGTCATGCCAGTGTCACAAATAAGGTATAAGAATATGCTCATCTAACCGTAATTAATATGCCTAAAATCCTGGGCTTCCGGGGGCTCTGCCCCCTGGACCCCACCTTGGGCTCTAAGGTGGCCTCTAGATGCTCATTTGACGGTATTTTAATGCCTTAAAACACTGAGCTTGCGGGGGCTCCGCCCCTGGACCCCACGCCAATTAGTGACCTACCATTGTCATGAATAA